AATTAGTTCCGCTCAGGGCTGAAGAGTCTCAGACAGTAACAAGGTCTCCCAGGACTACTTTAAAGCACAAATACTGTACTCATATTTTCTCATTAGTTCCTTTCAGTTGCCACAAATACAATTTTCCAATGTTTTCAGATCTAGATCAGAAATATAATAGCTCTGTGTTCACACACACACACACACACACACACACACACACACACACGCACACACAGATATATAAATACAATAATTTTTCATAACTTAAGATATCTTACAGGCAGAAGCTTGCAGTTTACTTCATTAACCTTAAACTTTCACTCAGGGCAAAGAATGTAGGGATCAATTGGCTAGAGAAGAAAAATTACAGGTTTCAGATTGCTTATTTTTTCTAGTCTGTTAGAGTTTTGTTATTATTTTTAAGCTCTTTTTGGTTTTAAGAAATCATTGCACATATTTATGTGCTATGTTGTTTTTACCTTGAGATTTTTTAATTTTCAGAAATAGAAGGACATCTTAAGAAATTGAGACCGTGAGTCTTAGGTTCATTAGTCTCTGACTGTCATGAATTTTGGGATGTTTTCAACGTGGATATGGTCAACATCACAGTGCCTCAGTTATCTTACATTTCCAATTATCTCACAGACTTTTGTAGTCTTGTAACTCTATTTTGAATTAACAGTATGTAGGCACATTTTTAGTTATACTATTGATTTCATATTATTGTTTGATTGGCTGGTTTATGTCAAACCAGTTTGTGCTTTTTGCCTGTTTTTTGCTCCTGATTGCACTGTATATTTCACAGTATGTGATATTAATTTCTTACATTTAGAATCAAATGCAGTAAAACTAAACTGCCCAACAGTCTGTCAGACAAAAGCATTCATAAACTATTGAGTAGGTCTAGGGAAAACTTGGTGTCAGAGTTTATTGGGTAATATTTTCAGGTTTAATAAGTAAGCAGTATCTTCCTAAAATTTTTCATGTTGTCTGTTTTGATATTTTAATGTATTACATAGTTCTAAATGATGTTCATTTGCCAAGCAGGAAATGAAAAGATTTAAATGTTGGCCAGCTCTCACTGAGACATGTGTATTAGTAAAGTTCTAACTATAGTTTTATTTCTTAATTCCTTGGCTTATTTTTGATACTAAATTTATTTTGAGTGTAAAAATCTCTTTTTGTTCTGGAAGACTGTTTATATTTTAATTCATTTAGTACAACTGATAAAAGCCTGCTCAGTAACGTTGGGTGAAGAGACTTAAGAAATTCTCTCAGCTGTGGGAATCCAGGGCATCCCTCTGGCTGCCCTGGCAGGTCTGGGACCCTGGCAGGGGTCAAGAGCCCCCCTGGACAGAGCCCCCAGAGACACTGTCTGTGATCTCTGTCCATGGAAAAGAGTTTCCAATCTTACAGGATGAAATACAAGCTCTGAGTGTTTGATATGAGTAATAATTAAGTGTGGCACGGGTGCAAAAGTAAAATTTTAGGTTTCTAGATTAGGGGTTCAGAGGGGACAAGATGGAGGAAATTGGGTGTGTCTTGTCCTTTTCCTCCTTCTTCATGCCCTCCATGTTTCACTGTAGTGTTGGCATTTTTCTATTGGTTTAGGCTGGGGACACACTGTTCAACGTAGATGACAGATATTGGCACATTATTGTAAATATAGCACGGGTAGTTTCTGGTATATAATGTTTGTAACATCCCACTGAGGGCAGAGCCCCGCACGCTGCCCTGCAGGACAGACCTGCGGCAGGGCAGCAGAACATGTTAGAGATAAACAGAATAAACAACCTTGAAACCAGCACAGAGAATTATGGCTTCTTCTTTGGCAGCGGGGCAGAAAGAGAGAGACTTTCTACAATCTCGGAATCACCAATACCCACAGATTCCGACACTCAGCCTTGGCACAGAACTGTTGCCACCATGTCTCTGACAGAGAGGGGTTAGTCCCCAAGTTTTATGAGGCTCTGTTTTCTGTTGTGCTCGCTTCTGAAATTTGCCACAGCTTTAAATAATAACGGTTCTTCATTTTTTTTTACCAGTATAATGATAGCTTGTTGTATTTTTTTCCTAAGGTTAGGCTTCTTTCAGCAACAATTTATACATTGAACAGTCAAATTCAGCAACATCCATAAATAGAAATACTTCCAAAGATAGATAAGACTATAATCTGACATCATTTTGATGGATTATTGCAACAGAATTAAGATGATCCTTGCTTTCTAGAAAAGGTTAATTTGATATTTTTCTCTTAACCTTTTTCTTTGCTGTCATGTTTAACAAAGATTAAAAGGTAAAAGCAATAAATGCACAACTACTCTTATTTTTCGTTACGTTGTAAAGAAGTCAGTTTTCACAAGCAAGTGCATATTGTGTGTCTGTCTATAGAGCAGAGGCAAATGAGGCCATATAAAGTGTCTGAATGTTGATTTACATGAGGATGATCTATAGTAAGGGTGATAGAAATTAAAACTGGAATTAGATTGACTTATGCAAGGTATAGAAAGCACACAAAAGCACATAAATTCAATATTTTAGCTGTATATAATTTTTTCTGCATACTAGATGTTCCATTACCTCATTCTACTAGATGTTAGATGATTTTCATATTTTCAAAAAACAGGAAGAAATGATGCAGTCAAATCACCATTGTTTAAACCTTTTTTCTTTTTATATTTTGGGTTTTTTTTCTTCTCTATTTAATGAATATAGCTGAAGACAGTGAAGGTTTTCTTTTCCTACTAGGAAAAAGTGAAGACTATTTGATTTAGGCTTCAAGATGTCACTCAGAACAGGACTGGAGTCACTCAAACCACTTTAAAACACTTTAACGTTTAGAGCTGGCACTATCTGGAGGCAATAAAGGACACATTTATAAGGGGGCCACACAGTCAAGTGCTTCTGCATTTGTGCAGATAATATAACTTTGACTCTGACTAATTGAAAAGGTGTGCAACTGAAATTGTAGAGAAAATTAGTTAGTCTTTTATGTCATCTTGACTGCCTTGTGGTGATATTTTAGACACTGATTTCATTTTTGTTATATTAGTTGTCTCAGTGGGTAAAAATTAGCAAAAATAATTTGAAAACCTTTAGATTCATGTCACATAATTTACAATATAGTTTTTAGGTTCAGAAATTTTATCCAAGGGTAAGAAGTGTTTCATAATATGATTGTTCTACTAAATGATATATATAATAATAAAAGCTTCTTTTAACCTCAGTGTCCATTGACTCTTTGATTATTTTTTGCTGAAATACCTAATGAAAATGGTACTAATGAAATACATGATAATGATTTTCCTTTTATTCATATTACCAGTAGTAGCAATGATATTTCATTATTACAAAGTATTTTTCTGGAATAAATAATAAAAATATTTTCTCATGGTTTAGTTATCTTAATAAGCCAGTTAACAAAGATGAGTATGTTCTTCAAAATCATGTCTGACAGGAACAGAAGAAATTTTTCAAGTATAAAGAGTGTATTTAGTGCTCTAAATCTTACCTTATTTTAGGAAAATATGTAGTTCTGTGGTTATCTTATACTAAAAAGGCACAGTCCTGGTGTAAATATTTCTTTTCTTTGTTTATTTGTGAGGTAAGATAACCTTTACCTAATGATAAGAATTGCAAAAAAAATTCTAAATATCAAGCTCTCACAATTTTCCAAGGTTGAATATTTATAATAGTGTTAAAGAAACTGTGATTAAGGTACTCTGTCAGAGGTGTGCTATTAATTAGTAGTATTTATTTTTCATTGTACTTTTTAGAAGAAGGAAGCCGGGAGGGGACAAATAAGGGACAAATAAGCCCCCAATAACGGCTATTGTTCAGTTATTGCCTTATTGTAAACTGTAAGAATTAGGTGGTTGCTTTTAAAGTCTAAAATTGCCAGCATGAACAGTTAAATTAGATTAGGAGATAATCTATTGGAGGTGGTAAATGACAATAAAAGGTCCCTGAGAATTTAGGTGTATCTTTTAAAAGTATGACAAATTCAGCAATATTTATTTTCTTAGAAATTGGCAAATAATTTAATTTTGTGTACTGTTCAAGGGTTGATTTAAGTGTCAGAGTAAGTGATTGGGTAATTGACCTGAAAATTAAAGTCAAATATATTGGATCAGAAGAAATTCTTACAATTCATCTCATAAAATACACTTTAAAAAAGGTATCTATGTAGAAAATAGCACAATAGTCATGCTATTTGATCTAATAAACAACTGATCTTACATTAATAGGATTGAAAATGTATTTATGATTCTGTGATTACTGAGTGACAGGTTATAAACACTGCACTTGGAAACAGCACTGTAATATAGGCTAGGTCACAGGCACATAAGCAGCTCCTATTTAATTTAATTAATTAATTCATATTAATTTTCTTGCTTACAAAAATCAAACGGCAAGAATAACATAAAACCTTCTATGTTTCATTGCATATTCATTGCCACAGTTATGATAAGGCAAGTGAATGAGCTGTTTTCTCATCTTATACAGGCTTCTCCAGCAATGGTGTTGGAACACCATGATCGTGTAGCATTTCATGACCTGATGAATGCTGATTCATACAGTAATCACTGAAGAAATACAAAACATGAATTTAAAATTACAGTTTCTTATATTTTGTCCTCATTACAGTGCATTTATAGTTCTTCCCTTGAAGAAAGCTGTCAAAGCTTAAAATTTACAACAGGAACTTTCCAAAGTAATAAAGAAATGGGAATTCACATTTGTGTAATTTTCCAAATTTTGCATTGTCTGTATGCATTTTGAGCAGCTCACATAGACTTCAGATTCTTAGGAGAATATCCATATAAAGGCATTCAATTTAAAATTAGTATTTTTCTGTAGTGTAAACATTGTAGCCATATTAAATTTTTAGTGAAATGCATGGATCCATTTGCTAAATGAAGAAAACTGAGATACAGGACATTTTACCTGTGGATTGTACTCTTGATATTTAACAGTGATTCACTATCTTATAACAGCAATTTTATTGTGTCTTCCAGATGTGTGGAGGTGATTGCCAGAGAGGGACGGAACCTGAAAGAACTGTATTTAGTATCCTGTGAGATCACAGACTATGGTATGTAATATACTTAGATATTTATTTTTTGTGAAGATTGAACCAGAATTCACAGGGACTGTTATCAAAAGTGTTGGAAATGTACAGATAAAAAATTTTTCAAAACCTTTATCCTTAAAAATAGGAAATGTATAAAAAGTGTTTGACTTGCTTAAAAATATCTGTGGTTGGAAGTATGAAAGTCAGTGTTTATATTTGCTGCAAAGTATCCTTATAGAATTGGCAGTTACTGGGCAGAGTGAGTATCATCCCCTTTGAACAGTCCTGGAGACCAGGAGAATATTTGAGAAAAAATAAATATATATATATATGTATTTTTAGATACTGTAAAAGCATAACTAAGCAAGCAAAAATGTGGATTAACCACCTGTTGTAGGCCATAAATTTGAATGAGGTTGATGGTCCTTTAAAAATGCTGTTATGGTAAATAGAGAGGAGCATCTTAGAATTAAATATCCCCTCTGATAGGCCACATAGGAGGACAGATTTTTTATTTAGAATAGGAAAAGTTCTAGTGCTTGTTTGTAAAGGCTGCTTTACTTTTTCAAATAAGATACTGACCTTAAATAAGACAATTTTTTGTGCCATAAGGCTAGTTTCTCAAATGTCTGTCTCCCAATTAAATGCCTAAATCTCAGTAGGGTTTACAAACTGTAAATTTGAGATGCTCATTTCAGTCTTGCTGATTTTTTTTAACTTTATATTGCCTAGATTTTAATAAAGAATTACTAGGTTGAAGTGATAAATTACCATTCCAGCGGTCACAAACTCATTCTTCTATTTTCCTTTTCAAATTCTGTGCTTCACTGGGGTTTGTACTGTGCATTCAAGTGCTGTTCTGCAGAGTTCTGTTTACCTTATGTCCACAGTATTGGAACATGAGGCCACCATGCAGCTGCTGCAGCTGCAGAGCTTGGAGCATGGCAGAGGAGAGGGAACACGAGCTTTTACTGCCCTGTCCTCTGGTCCCCTGTTGTTTGTACTTCCATGGGCAGGGCAGACATTGTCAGAGTTGAAAATGGATTTTCTCAGCTTGACACCACTTGTCCAAGATTGAATTTCTGAATTTGTGAAACGTCTTGTTGGAAATTCAAGGAGGGAAATAGTCTGTAGAACACCAGACGATAATAATGAAGGTGCTTCTTGTCACTGCTGAAGGGCAGGAGGTGCAGGAGGGTCTGAAGGCAGACTTGTCTCCTCTGTCTGTGTACTGCAGATCTGGGGGCCCTACTCTTGTCCCTTCTGACTCTGACAACTCATGTGGGAAGAGTTATTATGGGCATAATGGAATCCATGTTTTGAGGATCAATAATGTCTCTAACTGATTTCACCCTTCAGTGCAGTTACTCAGAGGAAAATTGTGATTTTTCCCAAAAGTAGGGAAAGAACTGAAAAACTAAGGCAAAGAAACCTAGGAGAGAGAAAACCTTGCTTATGAAAGAATAAAGAGAGAGAAAAGGAAGTGTCCATGGCTAGACGGAAGGCAGAAGGCGTGTTTCAGAGAATGAATGAGTGGAGAATAAATGTAGCATTTGGCTGATGGAGCTCTATCCAGCCACATGTTCTCTTCTCTGTTAAGTAATACCCATCTGTCACTATCATGTTGTAATCTGCAGTCACTTGGCAGCATTGCCACTCCTGGGACTTTTAGAATATTTTCTGTTGATACTGTTGCTTCTTAAGCTTTACTATTCACTTTAAAAATTCACCTATTTTTTTGCTGTTAAGGATACAGTAAAAGAGGTGAGGTACTGCTGATTTTTTGATGCATTATTGGACTAATTGTATAGCATTATAATCTTCAGCATGTCTCAGCATTGCCAACCTGACAAATAAATTCTGCTTTTAATATCTGAGCTGGAAATGGAAAACAAACTGTAACAAAGTAGAATTTTTAAGCATAATTTATGATTTCTAAGGAAGTCTACGATTAAAGCCTTAGATTTAAAAATGTGATAGCAATGTGAATGTTTATTAGGTTAACAAGAGTGTTGCAGGGTTGAGCCAGGCATCACCCTTTTCTCATTTATTTTTCTGGCAATTCAGTTGAAGACTTTCTCGCATTTGCTTTGGTTGCTGTTAAGTTAAAAAGTGAGCACCTTAGAATTTTTGCAACCTCTGTTTGTTTTTGAACCTCCTTTATCAAAGAATCTGTCTCTCTTCTCAAGGGAGAAGAGCAGCTGCAGTTTCTCAGAGGCTTTCGAAGCCCTCATGTCCTCAGTAGAGGAAATCAGCTGAGGAGCACATGCATGACTTTCTCAGGAACCCCTTTTAGGGTAGTGTCCCATGATCTTGCAAAGATGCAATTCAACTCACGTGGTTCTTCAGGCTCCATCAGAGGGTGTCTGAGGCTCTGTGAGGCTGTGAACTGGGTGAGAGCACGCCGTCCTGTGCAACTGTACTCTGTTTTGCATAATCCTGGAGTTGTCCTTGCTTTGGCAATTGAAATCTTAAAAGGTTTGTACAGATGCAGGATTTTGAAAGCCCTCTTTGAAACTGTTCAGTGGCAGGTTTTTTATGCTATGAAAGTTAGGAGGAATTTTGATGTCTGGGACAAGATCATAATTTGCTTAGTAACTCAACTGGGAAAAAAAAAATAATATTGCTAAATTTCCAGGAAAAAATTAACCATTTGATACATTAATTTTATCAATAATAACTATATTAAATTAAAGAAAATCATTACAGCAAAACTATTATCAGTGTCCTTCAATTAACTCATTAAAGGTATGTATGTGTGAGGTGACTTTTTTCATGTCCTCTAGAGAAGGCTTGTGAAAGTGCGATCTTTGGACATTTTATTAACTTACTTCTTTGGTTTTTTTTAATTTCTACATAAGACAGATAGCATACAAAGCTACCAGGCAGACATGGGTTTTTTAAAATGTGATTTAGTATTTTTAAAGAAATTAAAATACTGCATTTTTTTGGAAGCCTAAAAGATTAAATAAAAACCACTACACTCTAATCATGTATCCATGGCTGCATTCCTTTCTCTGACATTTTTCTGACCAGAAAAATATTCTTTGTAGTATACAGAGGACTTTAAGATTCAAACAGGAATTGAAGTATGTATACAATATTGAAAGCTGTTAACTGATGAGAAAAAAAGTATTCTTTATTTAATTTTTTGTATACAAAAATGTTTTGTTTACTTCTGTAAGAAAATTATGTTATATATCCTTTTTTAGGTCTAGCATAATTTTCTCAAGACGTATTTTTAATTAATGATATGTCTGTTGGAGTGTTTGCACACTAAGACATTGACAATTAGTTTAAAAGTTTGTTTACATCCAACACATTTTTAAATGCTAAATAATCACTAGAACACATCTAGACTGTCAGGACAGACTGAATTACTATAATCTTGAGATAAACACCTATTTGCCCCAAGAGCGCAGACAGAGTTGAAGTTCAAGCTAAACATTAGTTCCTCTAGTTCCTCGTAACTGTTTTGCCCTTTTTGTTAGGCAATCATGAATTAAGCATGGATTGTCAGTATTATCTTTGAATTTCCTGCCTTTTGTTGATTTGTGTCGCAGCCCTAACTTTACTTAAACATGTGGGGTTTATATTTAAGCTTTTCCTAAGAGCTGGTAAGAAGCGGGGATTTTCTCAGCTGTGGGGAGACTGTGTGTCAAATGAATTAGGTTGATGTGAAGATGCAGAGTGGTGAGCTAGGGCAGCAAGCACACACAGAATTGTGTAACTGTCTCTTCAATTTTATGCTCTAGTTCTGGGTTTTATTGATATCCTTAGTGCTGGGAATTCGTTTTAAGTAAATTATTACTTATGAAGTTTATAGTAGTGCAGAGTGCTGTGCACTCTGAAACACAAAAGTGAGATTTTGTGTTCAAAGATAAAAAGATTTGATGAAACTAGCCTGTGAAACAGGAGTAGATGTTTTAAGGATCTGATCTTGCAGTAATGTTAAGTGTATATTTACTAAGAATTACTTTACAACCATATTCTTTTCAGTAGTGAAAGATAAAAGTCTAATGCTTCACTTCCACTTTAGAAAAGCAGTCAGACCAGTGTTTTTTCTCTATAGGCACAGAAAATAATTTCAAGGCAAGCTTTAAATAGTAGACTTCCACTAACAGAAGACAGGGGACGGGAAAAAGCAAATCTAAACACCGCCACTCCAAAAAACAAACCCCTAAAGTAGTCACCTTTGAAAAATGTTTGAAAGGAAGTGCTCAAATCCAGCACTTAGTGCAGCTAGGCCTTGCAAATCACTGAAGAACTTTCTGAAAAAACAAAGTGCCCAAATAGTTATTTCTAGGAGTGCAGTTAGCAGAGTGCAGGGAATAAATTTATCTCACAATGTTGCCTGTCAAGTAACCTGCAGAAGAGGACAGTCGGCTTCATAGTTGTCTTGTAGAATTTCCATTACCTAGTAGTTTTGGATTTTGCGTAACTTAAAAAGCCTTTATTTCGAGCTGTAAAGTAATTGCACAAAGCTTTTCAGAAGAAATGCTTGGCACAAAGAGCTGAGATGAACTGTGGTCTTTTGCTGATGAAAAAGAGCTTTCTAGATATGTAGCCTTTTTCTTTTCTAAAATGGGTACTATTCCTTTTTCATATTGCCTGTTTTCAACATTTAATGATGCATTTAGTGTCTGTGAAGACACATGGGGTTTTTTTTAAAGGTTTTTCTTCTTCTAAGGGTGTTTGTTGAATAATAAAAAAAAAAGAACTTCAACAAATTATAATGGAATTATATAGTTTTTATATTAAAATGTTATAGATAAGGCATAGCTGTCACAAGTAGAAGTCTGGAGGAATAAGATAGCATTTATACGGAATCAAGTCCAATTGTCACAAGAAAAAAGCATAACTGTAACTGGATTATGGATTCTTTTCTCAGAAGTGAGATACAACTTACAATGTTAAAATAGTTTCCCTAGATAATATTAAATTCTAATGTCTAAATATTTAGGATACGTAAACTTTCTATTTTAAAATAAAATATTTTAATTATCAAGGGATCAGATTGT